CCTACTGAATAGACAGCGTATTAAGTGGAACGTTTCCTCGTAGACAGCTCTCCGACATTGTGAAATATTTACGTATGACCGACTGCATTCCAATTATTAAACGCCACGAGCGTATTTTCAACAAAACTTAAGTATTCACCTCTAAACGATGTGACGTTCATTCTATTTATTTATTTTTCTGTCATTTAATTAATGTTATTAACTAATAATTAATTAATTAAATTGTTAGCATAGTTATGTGTTGGTTGTAACAGCCCATCTATTTAATGTAAGCTGTGCTTAGAAACATAGAAGGGCGGATAAGCTGTTCCTGGTAGATGGATGGATGGATATGCATTGATTGATGGGCAGGTGGAAATACCAGATTTTCACAGCTCATTATCTCAGCGTAGGGGCATCGTAGGGACATGCGGTTTGTTTTATATTAACAAGGTAGGACAGCTGATCAATAATACTGCAAAGAATCGTCAAAATAAAACGGGGAAAATTTAATAATTCGACTAATACTGCAACATGGTTTCAGCATTTCACCGTTGTACGCTCTCCTTCTTTATACGCTCTTGATAGATAGATAGATAGATAGATAGAGAGGTGGATGAATAGCTAACTAGCTAGATATATAGATGGATAGATAGATACATGCGATTTTGGTTAGTGCGTCGTCGGAATAATGCGTACGGTTCTCGGCGTGAGTATACAGGTTATAGCCTCCCATTACCCTACAGTATATTATGCCGATATTTGATTTTCACATGTTCTGGTTGACGTATACTGAGTATTTATACTGATATAATATTGGAGAACGTCCCATTAATAACTAAGCCATTTTACAGTACTACAATACTATGTACCTCTTGTGCTGTCAACTGTTATCTATGTCAAATGTACTTGGAATCGTGCAATCTCGCGTTTTACTTGTGTGTCTATTTATAATATCTTGTGATTTTATCTGATATATATATATATACACACACACACACACACACACACACACACACACACACACACACACACACACACACACACACGAGCATGCGCAGTAGCATGCGCGTTCATGATATGGATTATAATAAATCTACGTTAACTAAAATTTAGATGTTTCTTTTTATATGATGTTAAGTATTTGAAAGCTGCGTCACAATATTCCTTTTCAAGTCGTGGTAGTTTTCAGTAAAAGGCAAAGTGCTAGGGCACTACTTTGCCGTGAATCACTTGTTGCCGGCCGGAATTTGAACACGGGCTACGGCTACCCACTTACTAAAGCGCTACCCACAGGGCTATCCACACATTCGTAATATTCTGCATATATGACAAATTTGCCTGACACATACGTACATTACGGACACGACAATTTGCCCCTCCCCTCTTTCAAATGGTATCGCCCAGAACCAGTCAAGCATGGAAAAACTTTGGCAGCAAAATGACCGTATTTCAGCTGAAACTTTTTCACTCCTCGAGGCACAAAATTTCAATTTACGCTTATAATACACGCGCACGCGTGCGTGCAACCATGCATACCCGCGTGTGCGCGCCCGGTTGCGTGTGTGTATGTGTGATTTTGTGGCTGTAAAAACGCGTATTATAGCCATAAATCCATTTTGTGCAATGAGGGGGTGAAAAAGTTCATGTCGAAACACAGCCGTTTGGCTCGTGAAAATTTTTCATGCTTGACTGGTCGTGGGCGATATTATTTTGAGGAGGGGGAGGAAAAAATTGAGGGGAAGGGCGAGAGAGCTGCGCGTGTGTGTGCGGTGGGTGTGTGCGCGCGCATGCGTGTGTGTATGTGCGTGTGCGTTTTTGTCTGCGCGCATGTGTATTTAACCGATAAGAGGAGAGAAAAGAGAGAGGGATGAAGGGAGGGAGGAATGAAGAGGGATATGCGTACACGCACGCACGCACGCACTCTCGATCGCAATTTTTTTCTCTTTCTCGAGCGCTATATAGATATATATATACTCTTCTGTCTCCGTTTCTCCCACTTCCTCACTTCCTTACTCCCCTCTACCGGATGATATTACCTATGGCAACGATAGCACGCGGCGGGCAAATGGGCGTATTTGACCCAAAACATTTTTACCCCCCCCCCCAAAAAAAAGCACCCTAATAACTGCAATAAAACCAAAGAACCAACAGAGCTTTATTTTACCACCGACTCATGTTTTCCTTTCTTTTTAAGTGTATAAATACAAGCACTCAGATACATAATTTTATACACTGACGAGAAGAGAGATGCAGATTGTAAAATGAAACAAGAATGAAAAGCCACCTTCTATCCACCGTCTTTCGACGAAACATACAAGCACGCACATGCTGAAAGAAAGCTTGCACGTGAGCTCATACGCGAATTTATGAATTTCGAACACATTGATGATAAAATGCTAGAATGTGAGAATAACAACTGACAAGGCAAAACTCTGAACAACCGCTGGCAGGAGACATGAATCCACCTACACCAAGGTGCAATACAACTAAAATCAAACTACATCGATGAAATCAAGATGAAATGCAGCAGTCTGATTATTGTCGCCATAAAATACAACAACCCGTCCTTCCAATATTTATAACAATACACGCGCACACTAAAAGAATCACGTTATACTGCCATTGTTAAAGGCAAACGTATCAGTCATTTAGTTATAAATACAATAACTTACACCCAACTTAAACTGAAGTCCCGGGAAAGGGATAATTGCTGTCACCAGTTGAAAAGATGCGCCGATATGCATTTCAAGAAATATGCAAATACACCGAGAATATGTACTAAATTCGATTGCTACAACAAGCAAACAACAGATGCTTTGCAAAAGTTACAGCGAAAAAGCAGAGTGCATGAGAGATTGATAACATTAGGTTAGACAAATAAACAATCACATTAAAATGAGGACGGCATCGCCAATGAGTCATGAATGACTCGAATTTCTCTTTTATTTCCGCACGAAAGATGCATGCGTTACAAATAAAATAAATAAATAAAATAAATAGTAATAACTATAAGGAGATTAAACTCTCAGTTCTGTTCATGATTATGTTGCATCTCATTGCTCTAATCATTTATGCCATCACCAAAGTCTACCTTGACAACTATCCAACACAAAATCCTGGCGCCTTTCAAAATGGGAAACACACATCTGCACAGTACATTTGTCACAAGCATATTTGTCACAAGCATATTTGTCACAATATGAACTTGTTATAATCGGGTGTATGCTTACGATAACTGGCTTACGATCACTCAATCACACACACATGCACGCACGCACGCACGCACGCACGCACGCACGCACGCACGCACACACACGCGTTATGCAGGGGTTACCATCTAACATAACAATAGGTAATTCTTATGCACGAATTTCCCTCTTTAAAAAAGCAGTTGGCGTTTTACAATTAACAACACAATTTCCCCGTTGAAAACTCGCAGAAGTTCCACGACCTCACCTCTCCGGAAACCTTCACCACCTTCACTATACACTTTCCTACATGAGCACACGTACGCATAGTAAGAATTGTGGATCGCTTGTGTCTACCTGCTCGCAATAGAATTACATAACATACACGCTCGCATTGCGTGATGGCACGCGAACTTCCAATGCAGCGAAATGGAAAAAGAAAACTAAACGAACGTCTCATTCGTTCTCCTCTTGAAAACGAAAAAAATCTATGAAATATTTAAAATACTCTGCGTGCGACCACCGCGTTAAGAATGGACATGCTGGCGCCGCATCTGTCCTCGCCTCTCCACCGACCGTCACAATGCTCCGACGACGAAGTGACCAAAGGAGCTGCTAAGACTCATTCCCCGCGATGCTTTAGTTCTGCGTAGGAAGTCGTCAACCGATCTCTCAAACTGCAAGCAAACCAAAGACACGCGGTAGGGGTGGGACGACACAGGTAGCTCACGATACGATCGTATCACGATACAGCCTTCACAATACGAACCGTATTACGATACAGCCTTCACGATACGATCCGTATCACGATACAGCCTTCACGATACAATCCGTATCACGATACAGCCTTCACGATACGATCCGTATCACGATACAGCCTTCACGATACAATCCGTATCACGATACAGCCTTCACGATACGAACCGTATCACGACACAGCTTTCACCATACAATCCGTATCACGATACAGCCTTCATGATACGAACCGTATCACGACACAGCTTTCACCATACGTATCACGATACAGCCTTCACGATA